CTGTTTTGGAATTAGCAATAGCTATAGAAGGTCTTTGACAATATCAGTTTCATATCAGTTATTGTAGGAATTGCATGTGGTTAATCATTTGCAGTAGAATCTGAGTTCTATGGGTAATAAAATTATTAAATGCTCTTTAAATTCAGATGTTTTTAAATGTCATATCTAATGCGGGATACTTCTTGAGAATAACAAGCTTTTTATTCCAGAACTCATTATGTTTTCAAATAAGCACATTAGTATGATAAACTCTATTTAATTAAAAAGAACAGCTAAATATAAAACAATGAAACTAACAGAACTTTTTTCCACATTACTAATTGTGAAACGGTCAGACTTCAAAAATCTCCATTTCAACATACCAGTAGTTACCCGAATTTATCCGGGGGAACTTGTGTTCAGAATTTCTAGCTATTTCATTCACTCCTTGTGTTAAAAAGAACTCCATGTAAGCATGTTCCATGAATTGGAATGAGAAAAATTAACCAACAAACAACTCAGGGCTCCCAACACATTTTTTCACCATCAGTTGTCTGCATGTCACTGCAGTCCAGACTACGGAGGTGTGAATTGTAGAGCACTCTCACATGTTGCACTTTAACTGCCCCATGTACACCCTTCTGGCATGAATAAAAAGGTACCTTGTTCACACCAATGTAGTCCTGCTTCAAATAGAACTACATTAATGCGAACTAGGTCTCTTTCAGTTCACGCCAGCAGGGTCGATATGGGACAGTTAGAGCACAACACATTAGAACGCTCTACAATGGCGCTGTGTAGACAAGCCCTAAATGAACAGTTCTAAAGTATCTGTACTTTACAGTAGATCACAGGGATCATGATCCATCTAATCTCTCTCTAATTTCTATGAATGTGCTTGCACATATGAAGACAAACGGAGGGTAGACTTTGACCCTATTTGTAAAGTCCTGTCCACCGTGGGATCAAACAGTTGGTTATACAGTTATTATCAGCAGCAGCATTCTAACATGATTTCCCTGGAAAAAAATTTCCCTGTTCTTTTCTTGAGAACTGTGCCAGCCAATCTCTACTACAAATAAACTACACTGAACAAAGGATAAAATTTGAATAACACCAGTATAATGGTTCTCAGACAGAAAAGTCCTCAAGTTCAGGAAAACCATGTTAGAACCCTGCTAGCAACATCAGTATTTAAATGTGGTGGTATCTAGTAGAGAAGTCTGAGCCCAGTGGGCCCTAAGAGATACTGGGTCATATCCTCAGCTGGTGTAACTTGTCATAGCTTCATTGAAGCCAATGGAACTATGACAAGTTATACCAGCTGAGAATCTAGCCCAGTACTGTATTTTGCATTAGCATTTTAAGTTACAAACACAACTAGGAATTCTGAAGGAGCAGTAAAGTATTTCAGTAAAACCTATGCCTTGACTGGATTGTCCTTTGTGATCGGTTTATCATTGTGGTACATACATCTGAGTGCATATAAAATGTTTAGCATTTAAATTACAAAGTCTTTAATCCCTGGTTTGGGCAACCTACCTTTGTTTTCCTGTTTAGTCCAGAACTCTTGCACTCTTTTAATAATGTTCTTGTCCTCTCTCAATTGCTTTTGCCATTGCCGCAGTTCTTGTACTTCAGTGTCACAGCGGACCTGGGAAAGGAAAAACACGCTCTTGTAAGAAATGTACCTGTGTCCTCCCTAAATGAATTATCAATGTTTTTACTATAACAAATCTATGTAACTAAAGCAGAATGAAACTTATAACTGGAAATCAGGAGTAACTACAAAAGTTAATGGAATTACATAGGTGTAGAGTAAGTCACAATGACATATGGTTTCAAGAAAAGCAGATAAGACATTCTGAGGCACAATTCTTTCCCTGGGCTGCTCATTATAGAGGGCCAGATGTAAACGCACAATCTAGCCCCAAGGGCTTAAAAAATTCAGTCTATACAGAAGCAAATCCACATAATTGGCATACCCTGTTGAAAACATATGCCAGTTATGGCTAGCAGGGACTCCTCTGAATGCTATGTAATGGCACACAGTTACATATTTCCTGAATTGTTAAAAAAATTAAGCATTGTACTTAAAAGCATTAAGGCCTTTACCAACCCACTGAGCAGCCATAATAGCGCAGGAGAGGAACATGAAGCAAACAAAGAGCCATGCAGCAGGAAATTAATGCTAAGAAACCAGTTCCCACCTGCTAACAGTTGTAAATAGGCTTGCAGACAACCCCAGTCCTACAATTTAAATAGACTTTCACAAAGAGGCATGCCATTAATCCATTATTTAGAGTAACTGAAATGCATTCATGACATCTATTCTTTGTCAATCATCCATATGAAGGGCCTGCTCCCATTGAAGATAATGACAACACTCCCAGGCCATGTCTACATTTAAAATTTTATGAAATGCTCTAACCCTTGGTCTAGCAGTGGTGCCGCTCCCATTGGTTAGACCCACCTCACTTTTTTTACCATTGTCTCATCCTGACCTGCTGAAAGCAGGGTAAGATGACTTTGTGGTAAACATGCCTGCAGCTGGTCTATCCTGGCATTCCCACCATTCCTAGCACCAATGCTAGAGCAACTCTGGGAGAATTTCAGAATATCCAAAGTATAGCTACAGCCCCACTTACTTCAATGAGAGCAGGAACAGGCTATAAACTGTTTATCAGGATGGCGAATGACAATTAAGCTGATTCTCCTGTGTAGCTGAACCTATACCAGTTTTTTGTGGATTACCACTCAATTACAGACCTAAAAGTCTCAATATTACAACAAAAAAACTTTAAAAACAGACTCCAAAGAGGGACTGCTGAATTGGAATTAATTTGCAAATTAGACACCATTAAATTAGGCTTGAACAAAGACTGGGAGTGGATGGGCCATTACACAAAGTAAAACTATTTCCCCATGCTTATTCCCCCCACCCCTTACAGTTCCTCATATCTCCTCGCAATTGCTGGAAATGGGCCATTTTCATTACCACTACAAACAGTTTTTTTTTCCTCTCCTGCTGATACAAGCTCAACTTAACTGATCACTCTCCTTATAGTGTGTATAGTAACACCTATTGTTTCATGTTCTGTGTGCATATATATATATATATATATCTTCCTGTGTAAATATCTATGTAAGATATATATATATATATCTTCCTGTGTAAATATCTATGTATTTTCCACTACATGCATCCGATGAAGTAGACTGTAGCCCACGAAAGCTTATGCTCAAATAAATTTGTTAGTCTCTAAGGTGCCACAAGCACTCCTGTTCTTTTTTGCGGATACAGACTAACACGGCTGCTACTCTGAAACCTATCAGATATCTGAGTAAAATGGAACATTTCACACATCCACCACAAAGTGACTGCTAGACACAAAATGTTGGTCACAGAATGAAAAATCAAACTTCAGCAAAGATAAGAACTTTGAGACAGGGTCAGAAAGGAGACTCCGTATATTGGGGGGTCCAATATTAAAAGCAAAAAATGAACACATGCTCCTAGAACAATGCAATTTTATATAGAAACGAGAGAAAAAAAGAATGGAATACATGTGTCACACCTTCAGTAAAGGAGTTGGTAAGAATTTAAGAGTCAATTCCAATTACAGTATATCAACTTTTTAATAATTCAGCAAATTATTTTAATATATCTTTGCCAATACACCAGGAAATTAGTTCTGCGTTATAAACACAATATAATTCTAACCAGACAATAACCTGCAAAACAGCCAGCAGGCAAATCTTTCTTCAAGTAATCAAGGTATGGGGATGAATCCATGTCTTCGTCCCACTGAAGACCACTAAGATTTGAAGCATTGAACAAGTCCAGTTTTGAAGTAAGAGTGCAGCTTTTCTTTTAAAAAACTCAAACCTCTTAGAATGAATCTATATTTGCTGTAAATGCAGCAAACATTCTATTGATTGCCTGGGTCACACACATTTATTCTGAGCCTTTTGGCAGCGGCTGTATCTTGTGAAAAGGGACATCACTGATGACAGCAGAAGTATAAGAACACCTTGTCAGAGATAAAGGTAAATCATTTCTATTCTGATTTAATTCTAGTTTAAACAATCAGAATACATACAAAATAAATAATGACATTTGATATTTACATAATGCTTTTGATCCCAAGGAATCATAAAACACTTTACAAATTATAGACGTGATACTACAATCCTGCCTCATCTAATACTCTCAATACAGTAACTTTTGGGTCATATCTACACATAGCAGCAATGAAATGCATTCAGGTCTGGGTTAGACGCCAACTGGGGCACAGCACACTGCATAATGGGGGAGGAGATAAAACCATTTTTGCTCAAAGACACTAGAGAAATATCTACTCATTAAAATATGTCCTGGGGTGTATAATGGCCATGCAGCGTGGACAGGACCTGCTTTTCATGTCTCTTTCAGAAGACCAACATAAAACAAATTGTATAAAACTCAATTCTACATTAAAGGAATAACGGAATAGGTCTACCACCACTGGGTTTTGAATCTATGGTGCTACAGAGTCTAGGTATGCTAAACCTAAGGCTTAAGATACTAAGCCACCCTCAACTTTTATTTGAACAGATGAGTTTAAATTTACAACATCACAGTAATTACACAGTAGAGATTGCTTTGTACTCGCTGATCAAGGTTCCAATATTGTTGGTGTCACAAATGATGTCACTTTTCAGAAAAATGGTGGTCACCAGCTAGAGAGACAGAAATGTCAATTTAAGCAAAAGCTGTTTCCAATACAGTTCACACAGTTTATATTTTTATGAGAAGAGCTTTTATCCATGTACATTTGCAGAATGCTGCATCAAGCAAAACGTGCATAAACTTTCTTTTTAAGGCCCATGGCAAAGCCAAAAAATGAGTAGAGGAGTCAAGATCATTAACATTACTCTGTTAACAGTTTCCCCCTGTATGCCATGCTCTCTGACTTCAGAGACCAATCTAATGCATGGTGCGTTATCACATTTTTTTGAAATGCAGACAATATGCATTCAGTCAATCACTTCAGATAGGGTTACCATATTTTGTGCCTCCCAAAGGAGGACACTCCACGGCCCTGCCCCCGCCCCAACTCCGCCCCCTCCCCA